GGGGATGAAATATATTTTTCCGCAACCAAAGAAAGCAAGTCATAAGCCCAGTACAGCTGTTATTCAGTGTCAGTCAGGAGCAGGCATCATTTGACTGAATTTCTGTAGAATGATTGTTAAGCATTTAAAAGGAAATGCTAATCCTTAAACAGGATTTTCCCCCGTCTCTTTTGGGGGATACAGGTTTGTTGTTCTTATCAGTAAGTCAGTCACTGCTGAGGTTAACCTCTGTAGTCAACAATAAGAAAATCAGTTAGGATTTCCTCTTGTGATACTGTGTTTTACCTCGGTGGAAAGATACTGAAATCTGCAATAGGTTGTGATAAGGCAAAGGTGTTCCCCAGCCCCTTGCCCCAGGGACATGTGAATTTATTTGATGTGTGAGTTTCATAATTAAATTATGAATTTAATTAATCAATGTTGTACCACCAGCTGCTGACCTCTGACCTCATAGGCTTTAAAGCTTCCTTCTCCCCTTGTCCCATGTTTTTAAAGTTTTCCTGTAATGTCATTTTACCCCACATCTTCCCAATGTGATTAGTTTTTGAGCTGGCTATCAGTATCATGAGATTCAGGTCACATAGGAATGTTACTTTTAAAGTACTTTACAGCTCATAGATTCTATAAAAGTTTCTGTTTCCACTTTGCTAAGCAGCAGAGGAAGTAAGAGGATGAGTGAGGGAATAGCAGCTAATATGTTGCTAAGTCAGACACAGGAGATGATCCAAAAGAGGTCTAGAAAGGAATTTTAAAGAACAGTTAATTCAGTTGAAAAGAGAATTATACAAAGTTTAGGCAGGTTGTAGGAGACAGTATGTGCCAGATAGCTACAAATATGATTGAGAAGGGCAGGAGATACCCAAAGCAGTGATGACTCAGAATAGGGCTTTGAGGAAGAAATCAGGATTTCTTAACTCTGGGAAGGCTTCAGAAAGATGAAGGCAAAGCAATTTTGAGGGGAAAAAATAAGGATTGGGATGAGGGAGGCTATGAATGTAATTAATCTTCCAATTAGGGTCAGATCGGTTACTGAAGCATTATTAAGATGATGCCAGCTGAGGCCATTGGCCACCAGGCCAGGACCCATTGCCTGGGGTTTTCAGCACTGATTTCATTGATTTTTGAATGGTAGGGATATTGGGCATCATTAGTCCACTTCTATCATTCTGCCAATAAGGAAACCAAGTTCAACAGTGGTTGAGTGACTAATTTAAAGACTGTGTGATTCCAAACAGGAATAAATGTACAAGCAGTTATTTCAGGGCTAGAGCTGGGTCCCCTGGCTCTAACCAGTATCCTTGACTTCAGGCTTTGCTACCCAGTGAGGAGGAAAAGACAGCAAAGAAAAAAAAAGTCGTGCACTCTGTATTCCTTATTTGGCCAATATGAAAAATGTGGATGATGCAAGAGATAGCATAAAATATACTTCATAGTTTAATCTCTGGATTCAGACTGATCACAGTTAAGTCCTGGCTCTGCTTTGTGACAAGTTACTTACCCTTGCTGTGCTTCAGTTATCTCATCTGTGAAATGGAAATAATAATAGTCATCTGACCACAAGGTTGTTAGGAGGATACAGTGAGCAGTATAGGTAAACACTTTTAGAATGAGAGTCACATTCTTCTTCCCCATATGCCTGTTCTGATTAATCACTGCTTTGGGTACCTCTGTCCTTCTAAATCAACTTATGGCTTACTAAGTGTGTTCTAATACTATATCTGAACATACGTGTTTGTGTTTAGAAATCACTATTTATTTAGAAATCAGAAATTCCTTGGACTTTTATATTGGGTGAAGTGCTTGAGAGTCTTGTGAAGGAAATTATGTAGGAAGAGTAGGTATTATTGTTAAGGCAATAATAGCAATTCTGAGGCGTTCACAGTGCAGCTGGGGTTCTCTAGAAATTTCTACGAAGCGTTTTTCCTCTTGTAAGACTTTTTTTAACTTTTTGTCCACTCATCATGTCCTACTTCCTCAATGCTATGTTGTACCTCCTCCCTTCACCTTACCTGATGCTTGTGTGGCTCTTGGACTCAATTTAATAACCACCAACCTGATCTCCTAAAGCATCAAATGCCACTACCTCCAAGTTTCCCCTAGGTAGTCAGCTTGGATATCAAAATGTTATCCTGTGGTGTCTCTACTGTCAGTGTTTTAGTGAAGAATAAAGATAGTCTCTTGATGCTTCATAGCCAGAAATGAAATGGCAGTAAAATCTATATCTGCCGTTGCCATTTCTTCCTCTATACAAACCCACTGACTATTTTGGCTTAACAATTCTATCAGCATTTGGAATTCTGAAGCTCTGCTGTGAGAGTAGTAACTACAAGGTTAGAAACAAAAAGGGTGTAATTCAGACCTCAAGGTAGCCCTGAAGTGAGGGTAAGTAGCAAGAGTCAGCAAGGTAGGCAGGGAAAGAAATTGGATATACCGCCCACCCTAGTTTTTCAAAATTCTACAATTCCATCCTTTTCCTCCCATTTTTAGCCACTTGGGGCTGGTTCTATTTGTATTGCTGCTCAAAACATGCTCAGAACTGATGACTTTTTTCATCCTTCTGGTCAGCGTACTTGGTAATGCTGAATACTCAGAGAGACCAATAGAGTGTTCTACACCATGCTTATTATTCAAGTGCACCTTCTGGGACTTTCTGGGACTTCTTATCACCAGATTCCTGACCTTCTTTTCAATCTGTCTGGCAAGTGCTCAACTTGCATAATTTCTTTTAGTCAGTAATGGAAAACCGAAACTTGTAATTAACTCCCAAGTAAGAATTATATATCTATGTATCTATCTATCTATATATATATCTCCTGAAAAGTGATCTTAAAAGATGCTTCAGTGAGGACTGATTTTTTTTTTCATTAACCATCTCTTATGATACCAATTTTTCTCCCTTCTACTTCAGGAAGAATGCAAATTAAATCCACTCTGTCAATAGCAATTTCTGGATAGTAAAAAGGACCTGGTTATATTGTTTTTTCAGCTTCTGCTCAGAAATCAACTGTAGAGGATATAGCACCAAATTCTTAGCTTGACATTCAAAGCCTTCCACAGAAGGCTCCAACTCTCCATCCTAGCCTATTCCCTCCAAGCTTCTTACTCCACCCAAATGGACGGGCATTTTCAGGGTTTGCTAACTGTAGAGTGGGCTTGCCTAACTTGATGTTCTGCATATGTTGTGACTTCAACTTAGCAGAACTCTCCCACCTCTCTGCAACCTCCAAAAGCCATCTCAAGGCCTGCCTCTTCTCTTAGGTGGTCCCAGTCTACTGTGATATTGCCCTCCTGAATTTACGTTCCTTATTTTTGGTCACATTCACTTGGAAATTAATCACACATGTCCTCATAATTTTTCTTCTCATGTTTTATTGCATTTTCATTCTGGTTTTATTTATTAACTTATTGTTTATTGCTTTTATTAAGATTGCTAGATGCTAAACTTATTGAGGTCAAGACAAAATCATGAGATTTTATATCTCCCATGGGATTCATTTATGTATCTGGTGCATACAAGTTGATCAATATCTTCCTATCGGGTTGGTCCTTGCTGACAAGGGATGACATTGCAGAAATGTATCTAGCGCTGAGGCTTAAAACATGGATTTTTCCTTCCTTTATAGAATTGTAAAGCAGTCCCATAATGTGAGAAACATTGTTTATTCACAGTGCATTATTTAAAAAGCAGATTATCTGTTTTTCTCCTTCATGTCTCCTCTCTCAACCTCTTACTCAAATTCTTTTTCTCATTTCTACTCATTGTCAAAACCTACACTGTTAGGCTGAAGGCTGATTGCTACGCAGCTTGTAGGTGTCACAGGCAGAGATATGTCTTTCAGCTGATAACATTCACTCAAGGGTTAACATTTAGAGCTTAGGAATGTCTTTAGACAAGCTAATTAAGGAGTAGTTTGTATTGTGTTTGTGCGTGTGTGGTTGTGCACGTTTAACAAAGTAAAATAAAATTGTGAATTTTTGGGAGATTTTGCCATGAAGAGGTTAAGAGGATTGTAAGTTGTTTTGTAATTTGAACGCTGAGGTGGTAATGCAGTAAATGCCGATGAACAAACAGGCATCAGAGGGTCTGTGTGAATGACTCCTGGCTCATCCTATGTCCATTTGCTCCTGCCTCTTCTCACTGCATTGCCCTGAATTTTAAAAATTCAAACTTAAAATAGGAAATTTCTCGATTTTTCCCCCTGAAGCTTGTCAATGATATAAATGTTAAATACACGGTTCAATGATATATTTTTTAAATTTCTCAGTAAGCTATTCTAAAATTAGCTTTCTAATTGTGCAAATTGCTTCTTCCTCTCAGCTCTGTGCTCTTTGCCATCTTTACTGCGGTCCTCTACTTCCCCCCCTCCTTCCCAGTTTTCCACTAGCAAACAAACCCAGCAGTAATTGCTAATGTCCAAGCACGTAATTCCAGCAGCATTAGGCTTTTCATTTGACGCAACTACGCAGAGAGCTGTCTGGACATGCAGCATGAAGTTAAAGCATTTTTAAAGATTCCTGCCCATATTTTCTTCTCTCCTCTCACCACTGAAACACAGTTGTTTATTTTGTCTGCAGATGCAGAGTTATAAACTTCTTTTATACATTTACATACTCTTATATAAATGTCCACCCAAATAATTTTACATCCATGAACAATAACAGATCAATATATACATATATGGAAACACATGGTCATCCACAAAAAGAAAAAACACTAGGAAATAATTAAATAGCTAGGAATGAAATTGCCTTCTGTATATGAACAGGGAACTTTAGTATCTGTAGTTTATGGAAGATTGGAGGCATGACTATCTAAACACAATCCAAGGTCTCATTTGGGGTCCTTTAAGGGGATCATTATAGCATTTCTTTAATGTGTTGTTTAGATTCTTACATATGACGCTGTTACTCTTTTTTGCTAACTACTCAAATGGCATAATTTTGATACTGGTCATTTAATGCTAGTTTTATCTATATTAAACAGAGAGAAGTATCCCTGATGACTTTTGCTCTCTCAGATGCTCCAAGCCTCAGAATAGAAAATGGTTAAAGTAGTTATCACCACCTCAGCAAAATCCCGCAGTGCCATAAGAGAAATTGCAGTAGATCTTTTAGGTCAGAGTTCAGTTCCAGTCTAACACCATGGTTCTTTACCTGCATTACCCTGAAGGACATAGTTGGATTCTCCTGAGGAAGACCAGTCTTAATGTTTTCAAAATCTAAAGCTATCAGCCTGCGATAACCAATGCTGATAGGAAATACTTCCAGAAACTCTGAAACCATGGCCAAAGAGGTTATACAGTACAGGACCTGTAATATTTATCAGATGTGTTTTTGTGGATGAATACTTGTGTTCATGCCTGATTGCAAGATGGGGGGAGAAGGAAAATAAACAGTGATTCATTTTTAAAGTTGATTCTGCTTAGTTCAGCTAATCTCAAATTTTTATCAAATGGAAACATATAGAGAGACGTGTCATCCCTATAAACAGACAGCATTGGCTTCTTCATATATACACTACTCATGCTCACCCAAGATCTGTAGACAGATCTACTCTGTGTTAAAAAACAAAACCCATGATACCGTGCTGAAGGATAAATGCATATTTAAAAAATGTATTTATTTTCTACCTAAAATAAGAGGCAGAGGGCAACACAGATTTCCACAAGTAGACTATTATTTTGTTGAAGCTATGAAGGAGGTGAGGAGGGAAGCAGAAAATTGTCTGCAAAAGAGTCTCTGTGAGCAAGATTTATTTCTTTCTTGTTTTCTTTAAACCAACTATGACTGCTCTATTAAGGGTCTCCGTAAGACCGGGGCCTCAGAGAAACAATTTGGTCTCCAGCCCTGGCACATCCGGCCCTGGCCAAGCGTTTCTGCCGCAGGCAGATGCGGCGTTGCGGCCGGACCGCTGTCCCCGGTGCTGAAAGGTCGAGGGTGCCCGCGCGAGCCCTTGGTATTGCTATCCAGGGTGCTGAGCGCGGGCCGCCGCAGTCTCTGAGGCCAGCCCACCCGCGCCAGCCCTCCGCAGAGCCCTCCCACCCGGCACGACCCGCCCGCCTCCCGCCAGCCTGCAGTTGACGTGGAGCAGGCGGCATAAATCAAGTCCGCGGGGCATGGAGGCTGCTGTCGCTGCAGCAGCTCAGCTTGCCCGGGGCGGGAACTCCCCCTTCTTTCGCCTCCCCAGCACCCACACCCTGTCTCCCCCTTAATTCTTCCCTGGATAATAGCACCCTAACGACAACAGTCCTAATAATAGGGTTAGAACGACAGGGGGGAAAAACCCAACAGCCCTAAACATCTCTGAAAACTGCATCGCAAAATGGAAGAAAGAGGGGGTCCCACTACTGTTTCCAAAGAGTAAGTTATTATTCGGTACGTATCCTCGCTCTTCCTCCCTGTCGCTCCATTTGCAGGGCTCCCGTTTCCCCTTCCCCCAGCAGCTCACCTCAAAAACACTTTATAAAGCCTCCACCAGACGTGCACACACGGAATACCGCACCCTAAGTGCACCAATACTTGTATTTACCCAAGCCCATTCGGACTGCCCAGCTGCTATCCCTTCTGGGTATACAGCCATCCCGAGCCAGAGCCACGATCTGGGGAGGGGGGCTTCTTACCTGGGCTTCTCGGGAGGATGTGTTCTCCGGGCCTCTGCAGGTTGCAAGTGTGGAGGAGCGGCCGAGCAGGGAGGGAAGGAAAGACTGCGCCTGACCTCCCCGAGGTTTCGTCTTCAATGCAACGTGAGCTCTGCCCTCATCAAAGATGGCCGTCCGTTTTGACGTCAGCAGCTTTTAATAGCCGCCCGGCGAGGGGCGGGAGGAAGTGGGGGCGGGGCACCGGCGGGGGCGGGGGCGGGGCCCGAGCTGCGGCGCGCTTGACTAGGCTCCCCGCGCGCTGCTCTGAAAACATCCGTGTTTTCGCCTTCTATAAACACCCGAACGGGGCGATTCTTATGACTCCATTTTAACACTCAGTCTTGGGCAAACGCGTTCATCCCGCGACTGCATTCCTGATGTTCTCTGGTGTCTGTGTACATATGTGCATATGTATATATGCATGTGCGTATATACTTTATAATACATGTATTATATGTATATATTCGTGTGTGTATGTGTGTATAGATGTGTATATATATATTTCCCCACACCCCCACCCCGTTCAGTGGAGTCTGTGGTTCAGTCATCTAAGGAGAGGGGAAGGCAGCGGGGGATAAACGGTAATGATGGGAGGGGTGGGGGAAAATTGTAAGCGGCGATTTGTTTCCTCCAAAGAGGGTCCGGAGGGGCATCCCCGTCCACCCTCGCCGGCTCCATATATGGCCAGGCTACGTGGGTTTCTATTTTTATGAGTGACTTCTTCATGCTACCGAAGCAGCGTCGAGGGCTTGCAGCTCTCGTTGCTGTGGTCAGCCGGGGAGCGAGGCTGGCGCACGCTATTTTGAAGTACGTCAGAGCCAGGCTCTCTGAGCTGCGGCAGGAGTCGGGGGAAGGAGAAGGGAAGCGAAGTTAGCCCAGCCAGCGTGGGTTTGCAAAGGCTGGGGGATACAAGTTGAGTTGTTTGCCGAGGCAAAAACGGATGACGCTGCTTTCGGTGGAATTTGCAGTCAGCACTGGGGTTGCGTGCTGGGTGTCTTAGGGGTACCCTGCGGAGGCAGGGATGCCCCGAGGAAACCGTCCTAACGCCAGGGAGGAGGTGGGGGCTTAGGAACAAGGACGGCTGGACGCGGCCGAATCTGATGGTTCACTCAGTACCCGTGCAGGCCGCCTCGGGGGCCCTTGGATGCTCAGATCAGGGCAGGGAGACAAAGGCTACTTGTGCTGGTCATATTAGACATTAAAAATGATAATGATAAAGCAACAATCCTCACTGTCCTTCCTGGCCGTGCACGGGCCCGGGGAGGGGGTGGTGCGCGGATAGCTTGGCGGTGGCCGCCTCCCGGATGATTCACAGGTGTTGGGGAGGCTGTCTCGGGGCTCTCCGCGGGGAGGGAGGGCTGGGGAGCGCGTGGGAGGTGGGGGACCTCGTCTGAGGAACTGTTTGTACTTTTCCGGGAAGGATGCGATTAGAAGTCGTGCCTCGCAATGTTAAAACTTGATGGCCTCTTTTAGGTGATGGAAAATCCTTGTCTCACTTAGGAGAAAGCATTTAGAGCTGGGTTCGGATAAACGGCATACAACCGCTCCCCCTGCACACACCCGCCCCACCGAACACACACACACACGCACACGCACACACACACACACACACATCTCGCTGGCCTGAGCGCCAAGCTCAAGCAATAATACGGCCTTTGATTGCACTCCATTTCGGAGGAAGGGAAGCAGGGAGGGGGGAAAGGAAGAAGAGTTGTGAAGGCGCTGCGTTTAGAAAGAATGGGGCTGTTAAGAATTTAATAAAGTATACCTTGAATTGAAATCAGTAGACATCATTGTTTCTTAAAGATCCCCTGACCTGAAAGGTTTTTGTTTTTTTTTTGATGTATTAATGTTTGCCATAATAATTAACAGTGTTTGGATGTTAATTAAAGCCAAATTCCTAAAAAAAAAAAAGAGGCATGTTGCTGAAAGTTTTTTACTTAAATATTCATTAAACACTTAAGATTTCCATACAATAAAGAAGAAAATCTGCAAAGTCCTTAGATACTTAATTGCCAACAAAAGTCTCCTGATTATGGCTCTAACTTTCATTATAAACCAAGCTGGAATACCGGGAAAGTGGCAATGAAAGCAATGTACTGCAAAATCCTTTATAGTCAGATTTTTTTCTCCAAAATGTGACACTTTTAAAAAAGGCAGCATGCGGAAGTTTGAAGAGAAAAAAAAAAAAACCCTAAAAAAAAAAAAAAAAAAAAAAAAAAAAAAACCCTGCAGAGAGAGAAACAAAATGTATATATGGCCCTCAGACTAGAAATCATTCAGGCAGAAAGTTTTGTAAAGGAATGGAGGAGGCGGGGGATTTTCCAGGTTAAAAAAAAAAAAAAAGTTAAAAAGCAACTACGTCAGTGATGGAGGCTTCTCCTGCAGGCAAAAGCTATGTGGCAGTCACAGGGAAGGACTGGCTGGGTATCTGAGTTTTCAACTGCTGGTGGCTGACACTGACATCTTTTAAAATGACAGATAGGAAGAGAGAGGCAGACTGTTTCAAGGTATTACAGAAAATACCATGGACTCTATAGGATTAGCTGGTGGTGGTGACAGCGTTTTCTGTTGCTAGTGCTTGTTTTGAAAATGATGCTGTTTGGGAGGTTCTTCATCTTGCTCTGGGAAAGGTAAAAAAGTCTAATTTGAGAAACATAAACATTGGGTACATAAAAGCCTGCTAAGGATAACCAGATAACCCTAAATGTATTTTGAGTATGATAATGAGATTTTTCCCCCTAGGATTTTCTCATGGCATGATTAAAACAAAACAAAAGCAAATAAGAAAACATCATCATTTTGCCAGTAGGGAACCAACAGATTCATGTTACTCAGGGTTTGCAAAGGCCTGAACCATACAGGGAAGGAACATTGCTCCAAAATGGTTCAGCTGCTGTGGGTTATTTCTACAAAGGACCAACACACAGAGTCTCTAATGGTTAGGATGAGTAATGAGAAAATTACCTGCTTGGTTAGATGGATATTTACACTGTGATAATTCAAGCCTCTGAAAGCTTTTTTTGATACATTATGCCCTGAAGTATTCTGGTTTGCAGTAGCTCTAGGTACAAGGTATTTAGCTTTTCCAAGGTAAGGTGCAACATTCATTGTTGACTCAATAATTACAATTTCATAAGGAATAATAATAAATACTTGTCTAAAATCCCATGTGATCTTTCCAAAGTCAACTTGAAAATAGTTTAAAAAATGGCCTAGCTCAGAAGCCCCCTCTCTAGGGTCATCCTTTGGGACATGCCTGGCACTCTATGACAATGTTTTCAAAACACTGTGAGGGCACAAGAATATTCAGTTTGGGTGCAAGAATCTTCAGTTTGATATAGCAACTGTTTTGATTCCTTGTTTGCTTTCTACATGGTTTGCTTGCCACTTTCTCTTCATATATTCTTCTAGCCTTTCACCCAGTCCCCCACCCCATTTATATATAGTGAAGTACCTTAAAATGCCTAGAGTAGTTTAGCTCTAGGTTTAAACTATCCAGGCTGTCCTTGTTTCCTGAAGCCTCTAAGGTGGATATATATTTGTGAGAGGTAGAACCAGGAATATTAGTTACTGTTTCTGCATTGCCATGTTAAGAAAAAATATGACTGTGCACCCAGAATGTTAAATAACATTTATTCTTTACTACAGACAGTATCATGGGAAGGAAGAAGGGGAGTGCCCAGCAGCCAGAGGCTGGATGTTTCCACACTTTCATTCCCTGATGCACCAAAATTACAGCCTTTCTTTTACAATGCACCCTGGGACCCTCCCCAATGCTGAGACATGCCTGTGGTCAAGTAGAAAAGAAGTACCTGTGACAATCAGGAACAGAGAAGCAGAGAAAATGGTAGTCCAAATTAGTACATTTCAAAAAGGCTAATTGATAGGGATTACAGTATTATTTGAGTAAATCTTTTAGGAATCATATTCATTCCGTAACCTCTTTGTATCTCAGTTATCTCTTAGGTAAAATGGAGACAATAATTATACCTAATTGACAAGGAAATTATGAAGCACAGAGTATCATATGAAGTATTGGCTAAATACAATAAGTCTACCATTTTGATGAGACTTTATTTCTCTAAGAAATGACATGTAACTTGGCTTTAATATGGAGGATTACCTTTTTTCATTAGCTGTTAACTAGATATGTATCAATCATACTAGGCCTTGGTTTTTCCATCTGTATGAACTTATTCATTTACTCAGAATCAAACATCTGCCATATGCTTGGCACTGGGGTCTAGGAAAAATTGAGTAGGGCATTGAGGGTTAGAGGGGTTAAATTACCTGGCCAAGGACACAGCTAAGAAATAGGATAGCTTAGGTTTGAACCCCAGGGCCCAAACTCATAATTACTATGTTTTAGAACAGCCTCCTCCAGCTCCATCAGACTCTCTTTTGCCCTCTGCAGCTACCTTCTCTACCTCAAGACAGTGTGGCTTGTGTATGCCTTTTCTCGTTAGTGGCTTCAGGGTTTCATTTGATAGAGGCATAAGTATGATTTACAGGTTTGGTTGGGTGAATAACAAGGTTTCGCTGGGGCTAATTTCAAGAAAGATCTAGGCTGTTAGCCTGCGGCAAACAGAAACAACATATTCAAAGGACAGGAGTTCAAATTACAATTAAGGAGGAAATTCAGAGATCAATATCCAATAAAAAGCTTAAATAAGAATCAGGGCATAACATGCTTCCAAAATATACCTGAGTGAGTCAGCCAGAGGTCAGAACACAAGGGCAATATGGATCAGTGGTTTTGAGGCAGATGATACGAGATCTTCAATAAGAATTGATTCCAAGGGTAAAGAACTCTGAAGGTGAGAATTGGGTTAAGCTGGGTTGAAATGAATGACTCAGGATATACCTGGGAATGGAGCGAGAATACCTCGTGCCATTTTATTGATACTAGCAGAGAAGGGCATCACGGTTCTGCCAGCTCACAGGCACCAGTCTAGGCAAGGCACATTCTAATACATCAGCAGATTGCGTCAGTGATCTCTTGGTCATGTCCAATGGACTTTTCATCTTTATTGACTTCTAGGTTCACCTGACAACATATACTTGCTCCTTCCCTTCTTAAAGCTCTTATTATCAGGTGTCTTCACCTCTGTTTCTCCCTTCTTTGTTAGCTTTTCATTTTCCATAACAGATGGGTTGAAGCAGCAAAGTTGTCGTGCCCAGCAGGTTAAGCTGGATATTTCCTTGAGTCCTGCACAAGCCCCCTGGGAGCTCCATATGTCCATGGAAACTGTCCTGACTCTCCACCCTGAA